GACAAAAATCTTGCAACACCAAATAAAAAAATAAAAAAGGCTGCTCCTGTCACAAAAATTGACAACTTTAACGCCGCCGCGATTCGCAACCATGTATATGGTTACTATACACGGGGCGAATTGCCTACATTGAACTTGCCGCGTCCCTCAAAGATGCAGACTTGTCAAAGGAAGCTTGCCATCTCTAACGAAGATATTGAAAAATATTGGTTTTTCCTATAAAAAAGTGACAAAAGAAAAATTATTATGGAAAGAAACGACATTGCTCTTGCTCGAGTGAATTTTCTCCGAAAAGTCAAAAAAATCACAAATTGGGACAAAGTAGTGTTTCTATACGAGACATGGCTAAACGCCAATCATACCTTGCAACTTACTTTAAAAATCAATTAATAAGTTCATTGTTTTGAAGGATACGAAATTTTTATTTTTGGTGGCAACATTATATAATTCATCTCTTTTACCTGATGTTGTCTCTCTCTTGTTTCCTAGCCCACCTACATCTTGTTCGTAGAACAAAGTTGACATTGACGCTTGCTACATATTTATTTATCTATGCATTGACGTACTTACCCTGCTTAGTAGTCTGCACAGAGTACCTTTGTATAAACTGAAAGTAGTCTGTGCTAGTGGCAGTTCATCAAATAATACAATAATACAATACAAATTTTCCAATACGTGCTAAAGTTTATAAATATTTAATTAAAACAAGTGTAAAGAAATTTAATATGAATAATCTAATGATAGAAAAAATAATAAAATCAAACAACGAAATATGCCCCGAATTTTCATTTGATAATCCAATGCTAGATCGAAATGTAGCAAGAGCGCTGTCGAAGAGTTTTGTCAAAATCCTAAATATTTCTAAACAAGATTCTAAAGTCAATAATAATCTTCGACTATCAATATTAGAAAGTATTAGAAAAATGTGTCAGATTGAACCTGGTGATCATGTTAGAATTGATGAAAACATAACAGAACTACTTACAGATTATCATAACACCAACTGTAAACATAAAAGCATTCTTAATAACACAGACTCTGTAAATAAAACTTTAGATGCTTTTTTGTTACAACGAATAGAAGATTGTGAGTTAGATTCTAAATATAAATCTGAACTTAATCCGGAAATAATACAATCATTAATAAATTTACAACAAAATGAAATATTTGAAATACTTCCTGAAGATGTTATATACTGGGATATTAATGATTGTAAATATATGAGTATTCTTGATGAATTGTTTAGTAAAAATGAGGATTGCTTAAAGCAAACAAAAATATTAAATGATATTGCTATCAAAATAATACCAAAAATAGAAAAGCTTTTCTTGGAACATTGTATTCTTCTATTAAAGAATAAAGAATATGGCATTGACAGTTTACTAGCTCACAACTCTTTCCAACAATTAGTTAAGACGTGTGCAGTTTCATCAAAATGTTTTCAAATTTGCTGTGCTATATTGAACTTTATTTTTATATTTACTAATTTTAATAGTAGTATTCAAGAGTTTGTATCAAAGTTTATTAGTTTAGTGAAATCTCACTGTTCTCAAAATGCATTTTATTCTCTTTATCCGACTCATATCAGTCACATAGCCTTGCTTTTAGATTTTAATTATGAGGAATTACCACTTTCTATGCAAGATATTTATACACAATCAACATTTAGATATTTAGAATTACTATGTAATGAACAGGAAAGTGATTTAATTATGCTATTATCTCATTATTCAAGATGGTTTGATATTTATTTTGAAAGTAAATTTAGCTTAAGTATAGTTCTTTAAGTTTCAATATACTTAAATTTAAGTTATAAATACAAGGTTCAGGAAATCAGCAAATTTCACCAGTAAGAAGCATGGCTAGAACTTCTGGAGAAAAAAAATCTTTTATTTTATATATACACATAATACATTAAATTAAAAACAAATTTTTGCAATGGTTGCTTTATTTTAAAAGTAATAAACAGAAAAATGTTACTAACAAAAATCAAAATAAACCAAGACCAGATAGTTTTTGCAATAAAGTGTAACCTTTTTTGCTACCCACATATATTGAGCTTTTATTAAAATATTTCTGTGCAAGTCTACACATAACCTCTTTACTCTTTTTCTCCATATTGTGCTTTCGACCCTTCAAATGAAAATGAGTTGAATCCCAATATGGTATCAGTTGGTTACAGAAACCACAATGATATAGGTCTGGTCTCACCTAGAAAGAAAAAGATAATTGAATAATGTATGCTAATAAAAATGCTAATGTAACATAAAAAAATGGCACTGTTAATTAAAATTTGAGAGCATTAAATATTATTTCCATATTCTATAATTCTATTATTTCATTATTGAAAATCTAATGATAAGCAAAAGCATAAGAGGGAAATAAAAAAGAAATTAAACATATAATATTGGTAATTTTTTATTAAATTTTCAACATCTTTTTATTCTTCATCATCATCATTACAACCCTTCACAAGTCCACTGCTGAACATAGGCCTCCCCCAAGGAATGCCACCCTGAGCCACCTGCATTCATTGACTTCATGCATGTCTTATCAGGTTGTCACTACATCTAGTGGGGGTCATCCTGCACTTCGCCTACTAATATGAGGCTGCCACTCAAGGCCATTTTTAACCGTCGATTGTTGGTTCTTCCAGCTATATGGCCGGCCCATTACCACTTCCAGTTACTAATCCCTTAGGCTATGTCAGTCACTAGTTCTAACGCAGATATCCTCATTTCTAAGTTTATCATTCAGAGAAACCCCGAGAATAGCCATTTCCATAGCTCACTGAGTGACCTTGAGCTTCCGCATATGGCCAGCAGTGAAGGACAGCATCTCAGATCCATAGGTCATTACTGGCTTTTTATTGTTAGTCTTTATTAATATGAATAAATTTAAAAAAGTAGTTGAGGCTTGGTATATAAGAATGCAACCGGGATTCCTTATCTGTATATCTATCATACTCGTAATCTGTCCCTGTAGTATCTTATCCTTTTTTACACGTTCACCATATGGTTTTTAGGGTTCCGTAGTTAATCAACAAGGACCCCTTATAATTTGGCTACGTGCTACAAAGCTGTAATTTTGCATAGTTATAGATATTAATCAAGTCTACAAAGTAGTGAAATAAAATCTTGAAAAACATTTTTATTTTGGCTATATTAATCTCCTATACAGGTGATTTTTTTTTACCCGTCCATTCCATTATGTGGGGTGTTGTTAGATAGATCTTTCAGAAATATTTGGGGTATAGGCTAATATTGACCATTAAAGTGGTATTTTTATTAGAATCCCCAAGACCTACCAGCTGAACTGCAGTTTTTGGAAAAGTAAAAAGTATGCACGATAGTAGTCTACGTAATGAAATAAAAAAAACTATCACAGCTAAGTAAGCTAAACAAGTTAACGAGTAATAGTCCACCAACTTATTAAAAGCACTTGAATTAGTAAATATTTCGCTATAATGACAGAAAATGACCTAAAACTACCTGCATTATAACATTATAATGTTATTGTAAACTATAGAACCCTACATTGTGCCTAGCCCGACACGCACCTGGCTGTTTTTTTTTATTGACATAACCATCTCAAAAACGGGTTGAATATCAAATCCAGGCTTAGGGAGCAGATGAGAAATATACATCTCAGCGCCGCAACCAGCAACCCCCCTAAGAGGCATGGTGTCCATGACGAAACGGTTAATAATGCATACATACATCCAACAGCAGACTTTTACATACTAATGGATTGACATCTTTAGTAGACAAGGCCTACTTGGAGAGTAGACACGAAATTGAAATGCTTATTGTAACAAAATTGAAGAACCTTATATTGCCGTCAGTACATCTATAAAATATGTATTTTCAAACCAAAAATGTCTTATAAAGGTCATATGTCTTTGGAAATCATCAAGAAGTGCTCACAAATAAATTTATACTTATATTAGGTATAGTAAAAAAAATTTATAGCAATGTGATATAGTTCTTATGATAGATGTCAATCGTAATCGTAGAATGGATTGCATATGCTTAATTTGCTCAAACTAATTTTTTTTGTTCTTTTAAAAACGTTACCCCTACACTAGGATTTTCTCATACAACATAAATTGCACAAAGACAAACATCCAGACCCGGAACAATTATTTGTAGGCCATACAAATATTTATTCCGTGCGGGGTTCGAACCCGCGACCCCCAGCGCAGCCACTCATTGCTAAGCCACTGCGCCATGGAGCCGTCCAAAATTGTACAAGCAAGCATGTACGCATGCATGAGGGCGTGTGGACGCCACACATGTTCTTTGCGAAAACTTGTGGACGTTGTGCACAGCATCGTGTTGTTTGCGCATTTTCGGACATGTTTATTTTTCCATCTAGTTATTGAAAGCACTTCTGAAATGGTTAATCGCAATTTTAATAGTCTCATAATCCCATTGGAAATAAAAAAAGGTTTTAAGGTAGGTAGGTACCTGTAGTGAGCACAGAAATCTAAATAATATTGGGTGCTTTTGGCAGAAAAAAAGCGCTAGCAAGCGGTTGTGAGCAAAATGGCGAATGTCAAATCGTAAGTAGCTATTTTCCTCTAGGACACGAAGTTAGTTTTAACCGGGGAATTTAACCGAATTTAAATATATGTTTGTAAAGTATTCATATTTAAAACTTACCAATCATGAATTTTTAATAACATGTATATGTTTATTCATGTCATTATATTACTTAAAACTAATATTGCACAAAACAACTTATAAACTCAACTTCAAAACAAACAAATTAAATAAGCAAAATGGCGGATTGTGTCAGCGCTACTAACGAAGTTAGCAAACGTCTCCTGGCCGAAAACTGTTTATTTTCGCCATTTTGCTTACAAGCGCTTGCTAGCGCTTTTTTCTGCCAAACGCACCCATTGCCTTATTATTTAGATTTCTGTGGTGGTAAGTGTGGTGCGTATAATCGCTCATCAAGTAGGTAGCAGTGGAACATATGAGGTATATATAATGTTATTACTTTACCTCTCTTACAAACTCGTTGGCAAGTTCCGGATCATAATCTATATCTAAAACTGAAGCTCTAACTAAATTCGTCTTATGTGCTTTGCTTCCGCAGTGTTGCTTAACTTCTTGGGCTTGAATTATTTTATCGCACGTTAAACATTTGATTTTATTATTCGCTATCGGAAGAACCAGCAAGAAGCTTTGAATGTCCACGCATATTTTATTATTTAGGCAGATGGCTTTTAAATCCTCCACGATGAACGCTTCCTTCAAAAATATTTGAAGGGATTTCATTGGGGGGATGTACCACGTTTGATTGTCGTATCGTATACCCTTTTTTAACCCTTTGGCAAGTAACATACCCTGATGTCGGGTACCTCTTACATGTTCTTTTGCTACGTAATAATGTGCGGATATATAAACATCGCATAAGGAACAATAACCCTTACTGCCACCAGGGTTTAATTTTATAAAGTGTTTTTTGCCGTATTTAGCTATTTCAGATCTTCTTTTACCGTGATCAATAATTTCTGTGTATTCAAAGCTGTCAGAGTCGTCGGACGAGTCGCTTTCTTTGTTTTCTGTATTATGAGCTTTTCTGTGTCTAATCAAAGCTTCTAGCGTAAAGTTGTATAATTTCCTTTTACATTGAATGCATCTAGCTGTACAATTATCCGGCATAATATAAAAATATTTTCTTTGTTTTTCCAATAAAGGAGTCGAAAGATCTTTGGCGCAAGATTCAACTTCCACTTTTCCAGGCGCTGGTGTTGATTTAACAGTCGTTGGTTCAACAGATGCTGCACTTTCTATAATTTCGCTTTTTATATTTTGAACTTTTTCATTTCTTTCGTGATTATGTGACAAACCAATTGCAAAAGATTTGGAACATGTAAAACAGAACAAAGTATTATCGTCAATCTGAAATGGAAAATAAGAAAATACACTAGATTGTGTGTGGTCCAAACCTATTAATAATAAGGTAAATTTACAGTTGCCCATATGTAGGGAGTGGATGTGAATTCTTAAACTTAGCTAATGGCATTAGCGTGTTGATGGCGTAGACTAAATATAGTAGTAATTCGTAATGTATTCGAACCCCAGCCAACTGCTCCAGCCCAAGCTTAATCTCACGTGTAGGCATAAACAAAGCTAGCGAAAGTGTTCTTCATAATATAGAGCAGTGAGCAGCCACTGTGTTTTTCTATTTTTATTGTTAGACGATCGAGTAAGAGCCTTTGAATTTCTGTGTTGTACACTTGTAGCATTTTGAAGTCCATTTTGTTTGTGAGCGGCAATGACAATATTAATTAACGTCAAAAAAGTAGTTGTTGCCGACAAAACCTCAAACTTATTAATAACATATGAAAAATATATTTTTTTTTATAAAGAATAAAGGTGATAAACTTGTACACAGTTCACCTGATGGTAAGTGGATGCTGTGGCCAGTGGCGCAACTATGTCACCAAAGGCCCCGGGGCAAAAATGAAATTAGGGCCCTCTTCGATCAATAATAGTATTATTAGGGCCTTATTTAACTAAGCTAAATACATAAGGTGCAGGACAACTTCATCATCAGCTCTTCATCGACAACTGCCGGACATAATAAAACAAAGCTACTTACTATTAAGTATGTAGTATGTGTATCGTAGCAGTTAATATTTATTTGTGCTTCCTTATCTATACATATATACAAAAGAGAATTCCCTGAGTGACTGACCTATCAACTAACGCACAGTCAAAACCGCTATACATAGAAATCTGAAAAGTGGACAAGTAGCTGCCTTTTATAACGTAGGCATCCACTAAGAAAGGATTTAGGAAAATTCAACCTCTAAGGGGGTGAAGTAGGGTGTTACAGTACCTACGTCTGAAACTTTTTATTTTACAGAACGATTGACTTGTTAATACTTACTAAAGGTAGGTAGGTACCCTGTATATGAAATAAATGAATTCGGTTTAAGCGTTTTTTTAAACGAACCATTACCCCCGGAAAAATAGAAAAATTAATATTTTTTTTAATTTGAAAATTATTGCATACACTCTGGAATTAAAAATAATAAAATTCACTTTTTTACTAAGGTAAGTGGTGATGCAGCCTTAAATGGTAATCGCACTGCATCTAACGTAACCAAATTCTTCAAAAATCTATTCTTAGGGACTTAAAAAGTGGGTGCAAAGTTTTTATGTAAAATATTATACCTATTAATAAGCAAATCCCAAAAAGCTATACATAAAAATCTGTCAGTAGCTGCCTTGTGTGACGTAGGGCACTAAGAAATAATTTTGGAAAATTTTACCGTTAGTAAGAAGAGTTGGCGTTACCATGTAGTGGCGGTGTAGTAATATCCAATACCTCATATCATCCCATATCATATCATCCCGTGGGTGTCGTAAGTCGCGACAGAGGGAAACAAATCAGGAGATGAGCAGCAGCGTCTTCTTAATACGACTAAAAATAAAAAACTGCAGTTGTCAACCCGCTTGCCAAGCGTGGCAACAATGGCAAATCAATCGTGGCAATCTACGGGGGAAGTCTATGTTAAAGAAGTTATATCTAAGCAGTACCTTTGTGTCTTAATTAATATGTTAGTTTAACTTAAAATGTTAAAAGTCAAAAATTCTTTATTTAAGGATATTAAGTATATAACTTTTCGAACGTCGTTCATGCAGGCCGAGGGGCCCCTTGAGCTTGGGGGCCCCGGGGCACTGCCCCGCCTAGCCCCAAGGTAGCTACGCCACTGGCTGTGGCCCATATTGATCTACATCTATTCTGGATTAAGAATCAAAATACCGATGCGTTGCCTTTGTTGCCTCTTAGGACGAATATATAATGCCTCGCTTCCAGTTAAAAAGGTCTCGGGTTCTTTACACTCACCATACGAAACACAACAGTATTAAGCTGCTACTTCACGCTGGTATTCTGCGATACCGTAGTCCATCACGGTCGAGCTACAACCATAATATAGCTGCAACATAGCTCTACCACGTCCAATAATACCTAACCATAAAACATATATTCTTTAAACATTTCAAAAAGCTTTTACCTTTCTATTGTATTCCTTGTCTTTGACCTTTATCATTTCAGATTGGACCAAAGCAATCATGTGTTCACGTTGCTTAACATGTTCAACATTTTCCACAGATGTGTTACAAAGAAAGCAATGGTTATTAACAATTCCGTGCCATTCAAATTTACTCATAATCATATTATGATATTTTATTAGGCCGTTTTTGTTACGTGCCACCTCACTAGCTTTTTTGTTTGTGATAGGGTTTTTCTTACGAAACAAATGGGTATCGTCATTTATATGAATGTTAATAGCAACTGACGTCGTAACATAGTTGCAAATCTCACAATAGTAGTACTTTCCAATCTGCAAAAAAATATACTTACGGGTTAAAATAGTTCGTTACATTCATTTTTTATTTTCCCTACCCGCTCGTTGCCGTCCACTGTTGGACATGTCTTCTTGCATATAGTGGGGTAAGGTAAACATGCAATTTAAATTATACGTATAGCTTTAGGCATCGGACATAGCCTCTTAAACAGTAAAGTTTGAGGGCTTCGCTATTCTTTATAATATACGGAGAGTCAGAGCCAAAAAGTCAGAATTTATTAAGCCTGGTTTTTTCTCAGGTGATTATAATCATAATTTACAATAAAATGTTGCGGTTAGTTAAGCGGATGTTTGAACAGGTGTCTCAGGTGCGTGGTCAAAAATGTCGTGACCACCTTTTAGTATTAAACCAAAATAAATAAATATATGAGTTAAATAAATCAATGAGTTCTTACCTGTGTTCGTTAAGTACATTGTTGTATTCGAACGAATTTTATTTCTGGGATTTTTAGACACAACTGCGACACGGAAGTGCCTTATCGTACTTTAAATGATTATGATAATGTTATTTTATTTTAAGTAAATTATAAATAAAAAACGAGTTGCCACGTGTAACGTCCATAGAGAGCGAAAAAATTTCATTTCTTATTCACTGAGTGACGGTCGTTGTTCTACGGAATGGTTGACTGACCATTTTATTTATTAATAATATAGTCAGTAATAGTTACTAAAAAAAATCTCGCTTAATAAACTTATAAACCTCGCTACATACATTACAGCTGACTGGCCAGCTGTGTTCTCGTAAGACGTTGACTGACTATGATAATTTTGATTTACATATAAAAAGAAACAAAAGTTTATAAAGTTTCAGCCTTAAGAAATTGATTTTATTATGTCGGTGGTCACGACATGTCTGACCGCGCCCCTGAGACACCTGTTCTAATATCCGCTTGACTGATCGCAGCATTTTATTGTAAATTATGATTATAATCTAACCAAATAAATCTATAACTCGAGAAAAACCAGGATTAATAAATTCGGAGACTTTTTTGGCTCTGCCTCTTGGTCTACAAATGTTCAGAGTCGTTGTACAGTAACCTCAGACATAATAAGATATATGTGGACAGCATCAAAAGTCTCGCAGGGTTGACGTTGCTACGCAAGTACGCGCAGTGTCTTCTTTGAGCAATAAGTCGAATAACGTGTAGGTACCTATTATACCTATTTATACTTAAATATCAGACTAACAGTAGATAAAGCTAATCTTAAACGCAGGTTCTTGTCCTTTTAATTTTTATAGCTCTCCTTACCATTTAAGAGTGATACAGAGCGAGGAGGATTTAAGTTTCATAGTTCAATGATATTCTTATTACAGATACATACTTGTAAATCGAGCGTGATGCTGTAACGATCAAGCGCAGTTTTGATAATTCTAAAGTTTGTCATAAACTAAATTCAATAGATACTCAATTATATCATTAATTAAATTTGTTGTTGTAAAAGACGGAACACCTTTAAAACCTTTTTAATTCACTGTCGTGGTTTATACCTGTAATTGTTCAGTATCAAAAAAGTAAAATTTAAACTTATAAAAACTATTAATTTCACAAGCGAAAATATTTAGCGGAATTGTTAGTGCTTGCGGATTTTATTACGCCCCTATGGCCATTTTCGTAATTTATTATTATTAATAATTCTTTGTCAGCCATTAAAGTCAAAAAGATATGCTTCAATATCTTGTTGACTTCAATGGCTGATAATAACTTTGGTCACGCTTGGACGATTGCAGTACCAGACTTCTCGTACTTTTCTGGCATTTTCTAATCGCCTCTCACGACACTCACAATATAAAATAGCGTGCTGACAAAATGGTAGCTGTGTGGTAGCGGCGTCCATTATAACTGATTAAAAATCACATTTTATCCTTTACTTACCCCATAACTTACCATAAATATACAGTCTTTTTTGTATTTTGGGATGTAAGATAGATTTTTTATATTTTTTCTGTGTTGTTCCCATCGGATATGCCTTTCCACTTGTTCTGTAAGTTCGAAAGATTCCTCGCAAAGAAGACAATAGTAGTCTATCTCGCCACATAAAATCATATTTTTGTAATATCTGTTCATATTGTAAAAAAGGTAAGATACTTGTGCAAATCAGTAAATATTAAATAAGTATATTATGAAAAAAATTGTTAAGATTATTAACTACACAATTTTAAAGAACACTTGAAACTATATTTCTTCCTGTTAGTTTGTGATTAGATAAAATGTAGGTATGTCTAAAATAATTTCAAAGAAAATAATCACTACCTACTTGAGAGAATATAGATACGAAACTTATCTGCTATACTTACCTATACGATACATACGTTGTATACCTATTATCTCACAAACTAAAAAGAAGTAAGTACCTATTTACTACATGATCTCTATTTAATAGATTTGTAGACAGAGCGTTGGAGTTCGCGATTTGTTATTTAGTATTCTAACCTACACAGCTGAGCAAATAAATTATATAGAATGATAAAATACATTGTCGAGTTACAAAGATTTTATGTCGTTATGTGTACTACAAACTTTGGTCGTTTTATTAAATTATTCTTGTAGAAAATTATTGATTTGTCAATTATAATTAAAATAAAATAAAAAATATATCTATATATTACATTACATTTAAATAAAATTGAAGTTTCTGTCTGTAATAACCACTGATCTCTCTCTCTCTCTCTCTTGTCTGTCTGAGCTAAGATTTTAGCTGGATCTAGGCTATATTTTATATAAAAAATGAGATTTTTTTTTGGTGAAATCCATAAACCTATACAAACCAGAGATCTTATAAAAATTTCAGTGGAACTTTTTAGGTTTGTACTTGTATACAAAATGGTTTTTACATTTTATTGTTAATTATATAGCAAATAAAATTTTAAGACCTATGGCGCTTCACACATATACTTTATAACATTACAACCGTACATGATTAAAACTAGTTAATCATGTACGGTAAAAGTTTTAATCATGTGCAATGTTCGCGTAAATATAAGAAATCATTATTACAACCGTATTTATTTACGTCCATGAAGTAGAATAAAAAATTCAAAGGAATAAAATAATTTCCAGTGCACAACGTCAACGCCAGGTGGCCAACAGAAAACGTTCTGGGGCTCTGGGCAGCCCCAACAGGACAAAGTATCATGGCATACCAGAGCTACTATCTGAAACCTATAGTAATATTAAGATGTTACTAAGATTCCCGACGAAGCCAGGTGACTGAATAACTGCGCACATGTAAAATGAGCACCTAATAAGGGCTAATAATCTTCAGCGCACCAAGGTCACATGTTTTCTTTTATATTTGTGGTGGTGGTATCTATCTATGTAAAAGTGATGCGGGTTGTCTGTGCATCGACCTATAAACGAGGTAATATGTGCTCTGGTGGTATTAAAAGAGTCAAGTTTTTACTCGCTTATGTGCATTGACATACTATCGGCCTCAACTGTCGCGGAAATCTGCCACAAACTTCACAATGTGACGGTATCGGCATATAATAATTCAGTGGTAAATGAAAAAAGTGACTTTCAATAAGTATTGTTATAATCTACATTATATAAAAAAGTTTCTGTTTCTATTGTGAAGAATTTTATGAATAAAATTCATGTTAGACTCGTTAGTTTTGGCGTAGACCCCTTAAAAATCAAATTTGCAATTTCCATAGATCCGTAGTAAAGTTAATTCGTGGTGATTATATAGATCTTAAACTAATAATATACTTACGTATGAATAGAGAGAACCTACAATCCTATACCTTTAAACGAGCAATATATATATATATATATATGTGGGTCAATCAACTATTCTTTGTACGCAAACAATTTTATTCAAAAAATAAATTAAAAAATAAAAGTGTAAATTAATTGTAAATTCTACCTGAGCAATTAAAAGTAAGGATATTGAAAATTAAAACTAAGCTATCAGCAGTGCAAGTTTTTAATAATAAAGCATATTTTTCAGAATTTAAAATGTTGTTGTTCACGTTTTTCGTCCTCTGTGTTACTTACTGATAAATGGTTTTCATTCGAATAAAACAGTTACATATTGTTAGAAAATCGGTTTATTAAGTAATGCTAAGAAATATATACCCAACAAATTAAATATCAGAAGAAGACTTATGATAATAACAAACTTATACGATGTTATTGTGTCTCTTAAGTTACTTTTCAATGTTTTGAAAAATAATTTTTAATATTTAAGTTCAAAGTCACTAATGTACAAACTAGCTTTTCAAGAAGTGTGAAGTCATTACTTTGCCAATTCTCGTAAATATAATTTTGATGTAAGAAAATACTTTTTCATATGATTCAGTTGCACTGAATCTTTTCAAATTTTAGGGACAAATCAGTAACTTCAGAGACGTTTCGATAACTTAATAGATATATTATTATATCCTCAAAATTGGTTTATTTATCACGAACATTATTATGGATACGTAACACAATAAGAAAGTATAAAAAATAAACGTAACAAGATTTTTTTTTAAATTAAAAAAAAAAACGAAATGCCCTCTAATAATATAAATATAATTAATTTGAACCAGTAACAATATCAAGTTACTTTTAAGTTTTACTTAATCTTTGTACTATTTAATATCACTTATTTTCTTTAGTAACATGATCAATATAAAGGTTTACTATTAACGTAACATAGGTAGGCTCAGTAAAATCTTAGTCGATAGTTTCTTTAATATCAGTCTTCTAATCAGTATATTATGTACTATAAGTCAAAACAAGTAATTTTATATTATCGTTGTAATAATGAGTAATAAAATATTATTTTTCATATATGTCTAATTGTTCTTGAAAATTATAATAGACTTTTTCGTTCTTAATTATTTGTTTTGGTTTAGGGAGAATTTTTATAATATCATTAAATTCAACAAACGCTATATCGTTTTCGTCTAATTTAAACTTAGTTGCACCCTTGTATGCCCGGAGAAATATCACTTTAATCTCGCCATCGTGTTCGAGATCACTTTGTGCAAGGCTTGCGTAAGTATAAGTTTTATTCTTACCAGCGTGGACGTTTACTAAAAGGAAATCTCCGTTACTTGGCAGCACTTTATTATTCCCAGAAGTCGTAGGCTGATTTTCTTCATTAGATGCGTCTATGAAACCGTAAACCATATCGTAAACAGCTCCTCGTTTACCCGCGTCCTTGGCTAAGTCTGTGTAGTTTATTTCTGCTAGTGGTTTGCTAGCAGTAGTTACTGTAGCTCCGGAACACCTTGATTTGATTCTGTTAAGAGGTTCGTCATCGTCAGAAGACATAGAAGATGAAAGAGAGTTAACGATATTATTATCACCACATGTACCACTAGCATCTGCTGAATCCGTAGGAGATGAAGGAATCACCATTGCAGTATCATTGTCGACTGATGCATCAGCAGTTGTTGGTGATACCAGAGGAACAGGATGGTAAATTTTAGGTTCTAAACACTTGCAAAATCCCCGTTCGCAAAAACAACTCAACGTACGATGCATTAATTCACCGTATTTGGAAGTGAACACTTGGTGCACGTGCAAAGTACCTTGTAATCTTGTAATGTTTCTTGGAAGCTCTTTTGAAATATTTTCCATATCTTCTTTAGTTATTACATACAGTATAATCTTGCTCGTTCCCTGCAAAGCACTAACGAATTGTTCAATGTTTGAAATGTCCTTCCCTCTGACAACAATACCGTCTGCTATTCGTTTTAGAAAACCACCAATGCCGTCAGCGGGTCCTTTGCCGTGGCCGGCTTCAAAAAATGACCAGGTCACCGCTTCAAAGTCATACTCAAAGGGTTTTGTACAAGCTAAATAAAAATTCTGTTTTTGCCTATATTGCGTGAAAGGACCATCGCTAAAAAAATGAAGAATTTTTACTTCAGGGAACCTCAATTTGATATTTCGCAAGATAGGATGCAAATGCGCCCAAATTGCAGCAGGTTGATGCAGAATATGAGATGATACGGTACAAAAAGATTCAGCAATATTTTTTTGTCCAAATTGACCATGAAAACCATAACCGTGTGGAGCGAAAGTTGCTGCCTGCATCCACCAAAGTGATGTGCCTCTACTTCCTCATTATATTTGAAGTTGTAGTTTTCGCTAAAATCTACTAGAATGGTGGCTTCGTGTAGTTGCATTTCGTCGATGCAGCGTCTAAAGTTTTTGTATTGAGTTTTTATATTATATACATGCTTTTTCAGTAGAATTAGCTCTATTTCGAAATCTTTTATTAAATATTCTATTTCTACTTCTTTAGTTTCTTTCACATTTTTAATAGATTTAATGTGTTTTCCGTCTTTAATATATCTGTCCTCTTTTCTAGTCCATTCGCTAAAATACACTTTACCTTTAATCTTTGTTATGTCATAGTTAAGCTTCTTTCTTTTACATTCATGAGAAGATCCATACATGCAGTCCTTATTCGTAGAATCACAAACAGTGTACGTTATTATTTCACTCAAATCTTTTGTTTCCAGTATCCGTTTACCATATAATGCTATTGCCTTGTGCATTATGTTGGGATGAATTTTGCACAGGCACATCTCACGCCCATCGACTGCTGGTACTTTTATATACCCGGGCCGATTTTTGGTAAAATAAAAATAAGAACATCTCATATCTGGATTTTCTTGCTTAAAGGTTTTATAAAGAATCTTCATAGTATCCAAAAGATATCTCTTTTGGACTTTATGTTTATCTTTCGTGACTGTTTCTTTCTTACCTGCTGTGGTTCTCGATACATCATCTCGCTTAAAAAATTCTTAATTTTGTTTTGCAAATCTGTTCTTACCTTTATTTCGTTTTAAACTCGATCTCATTGTTCCTACTAAATTCAAACTATCCTTCAACAACTGTTTCTTTACTCTCGATTCACGTACTGTAGAGCCAATGAATATTCGTTTAAATAATCGTTTTTCAGCCATTTTTTTAATATTCTTATATCTTTGACTAATAGCGCCTGTTAAAATTTTATATTTCTTTGAGTCTGTATTCTTAAATTCTTCATGGTTTTTATTTTTAATTCGATAAAACCTTTTCTTGTATTTTTCATACTTGAGTTTTAGTTTTTCGTTTTCTTTTTTGGAGCTTTTGGTTTTCTATAAATAATTTAGTTCTATCTCTTCTTACAGCTTTCCTTCCTCTCTTTACTTTACTTGTACTTGAACTCACAGCAGGGGAAATTATTCCTTGGCTTCGAAGCAATATTTGCTCATTGTTGACACATTGTTGTACAAATTGTTGTGGTGCAGGAGATCCGGGAGGTTTAATATTAATTACATTTTCAAGCGCTCTTTTGCGTTGACGTTGTTGGCGTTTACGGAGCTTCCAAATTGTCCGTGCATTACGTTTCTCCTTAGCGGATAAATCTTTAATCAGTCTTTTATTTTTGTGATAGTGTGTTCCTTGCTTTTTTTTAGTTTCTTTATATTTTAGCGGATCTTTTTTTTAATTTCTCCCGATATCGTTTTTGCTTTTCAGTCGCTGTAAGAGCCATGTTTATATGTCTGTAACAAAAACAATTGTGTTTACTACTAACGACCGACCCGGCTTCACAAAGGCGGTTAGAAGTAGAACAACTTCAAATGATGCAAGATAAATGTCCACCGAGTTACCATTAGGTCCCCTAAGTTACCATTTACAGTAACTCAAGGGACCGGTAACGGAGGAGACTTTTATAGGTTAAACTTAATCATAATACTTTTTCTTCAAGAATAATACAGAATTGATTGTTACAAATGAAAAACAGACGTATTTAATGTAATCCATGACAATTATTGTACTGTATTAAAGAGTACTTACCAATTTTTACGTTGAAACTCTGGGGACACCGAATAAACACATACACGTTATCATACGCCACGCGGGCAACTAGCGGTGATTGGTTAAAAATCAAAATGGCGGAATCATGTGACACGAGCAGGGTTGCTAATGCCAATGTATGTAATTCCCCAAAATTCCATATGAAATTCCCCAAATTTGGGGACAAAAATCTGCTGATTCCCCACAAATTCCCCTCAATATTATTTTAAACAATGAAACAAGTTTAACCTATTTAAATAATATTTATTTTTTAACCTTTGTTGCGATTTTTCCATACGTTTGATGCAAGCATTTTGTTGGAAGGATTAAACTTGGCACTGCCGCCCAATTTTTTTATACCCTCTCTTGTTGCCATTAAAGACACTACAGTACCTGTATTTAGCCGATTGCGATTTTCTGTTTTTAAACATCGAAGCGCACTAAATTTTCTTTCGACCGACGCGTTTGAAAATGGCAATATGAGCAACAAAGACATAACAATTTTTATGTTTGGAAACATGTATTCTCCCGCAGCATTTTTAAGGCGAAATACTTTACCCCAGTAACTTTCGGCATTGATGTTATCTCCATGAATTTCAAGCCCATGTTGCTCAAAATCTAACAAAGCGTGAGTTCGCCACTCGTCATCTAATTTTTGTGCGGTCACAAATTTACAAAGCACTGGAAATCGCTTCAGCACATGCACAAGTGATTTAATTAGAAACTGTTGAGCTTCTGATGGATTTACAGCGGATATAATAGAAAATAGAGGATCCCCAAAATCAAATCGCTTGGTAATATCTGACGTCAATTCAATATAAAACTCCTGGCAGGTTCTATAGAAATCTGCAATAGCAGCACGAGGTACATTTTCGTCATTTTTTAAAATTTCAATACTTTCTCCAGCCTTTAATCCAATATATATTTCGTTTAAACTTAGAAAATGTGTTGGGTTTTTGAAGTCTGCGTTTAAAATATTAGCACAGGACTTGATATAGCTAATTTTCATGAAATTAGAAGACAACGTTTTCAAAAGGTTTTCGACTTCTGGTTTCAATTTGTAAAGAAGGGAAGTTTCTGATTGAAACAAGACATTGAATTTTGTTACCAGTGCAAGTACGTAAGACATGAACTCCAAATATACCACAGTGAATTGGTTGTTCATTGTAATCAGCATTTCTTCGGTAGTCTTCGACGGATCTGAGAAGACTGTTTCTGTCAAGTAGGCTTTTAATGGAGTATACTGCTCTAAGACACGGTCTATACACGCTTTCAGCGAGAGCCATCGAGTTTGAGCTGGTGTGAGAATTTTGTGAATCTCCACTTGAAAGAATTCTTGAAACTCTCTAAATTTTAGTTGTCTTTGTGAACTTCTACTGAAGTGAGCTCCAACAGAACGCAAAAAATCTTCAACGTTTCAATGCAATTTAAGACAAGCTTTAGATGATGATAGGTGTATCATGTGACAAGAACATTTCACCAGAGCAATGTGAGGCAAATCTTTTTTAAGAAGAGCAAAAACAGAGCAATGTTCTCCAACCATCACGTTTGTGGTATCTGAACTAAACCCTACCATGTTTTCTATCGATATGTTTTTATTTCGAAGCATTTGATGTAAACAGTCATACAGTCCCTTAGCAGTTCCTGATGACAATTCCACCATATCCAGAAACAAATGCTCTACCTTATTGGTGTTCTCATCATAGACAACAGCAGTAAAACAGCATTGTTTTATCATTAACATTAACATAAGGTTAAACTTGTTTCATTGTTTAAAATAATATTGAGGGGAATTTGTGGGGAATCAGCAGATTTTTGTCCCCAAATTTGGGGAATTTCATATGGAATTTTGGGGAATTACATACATTGGCATTAGCAACCCTGCTCGTGTCACATGATTCCGCCATTTTGATTTTTAACCAATCACCGCTAGTTGCCCGCGTGGCGTATGATAACGTGTATGTGTTTATTCGGTGTCCCCAGAGTTTCAACGTAAAAATTGGTAAGTACTCTTTAATACAGTGCAATAATTGTCATGGATTACATTAAATACGTCTGTTTTTCATTTGTAACAATCAATTCTGTATTATTCTTGAAGAAAAAGTATTATGATTAAGTTTAACCTATAAAAGTCTCCTCCGTTACCGGTCCCTTGAGTTACTGTAAATGGTAACTTAGGGGACCTAATGGTAACTCGGTGGACATTTATCTTGCATCATTTGAAGTTGTTCTACTTCTAACCGCCTTTGTGAAGCCGGGTCGGTCGTTAGTAGTAAACACAATTGTTTTTGTTACAGACATATAAACATGGCTCTTACAGCGACTGAAAAGCAAAAACGATATCGGGAGAAATTAAAAAAAAAGATCCGCTAAAATATAAAGAAACTAAAAAAAAGCAAGGAACACACTATCACAAAAATAAAAGACTGATTAAAGATTTATCCGCTAAGGAGAAACGTAATGCACGGACAATTTGGAAGCTCCGTAAACGCCAACAACGTCAACGCAAAAGAGCGCTTGAAAATGTAATTAATATTAAACCTCCCGGATCTCCTGCACCACAACAATTTGTACAACAATGTGTCAACAATGAGCAAATATTGCTTCGAAGCCAAGGAATAGTTTCCCCTGCTGTGAGTTCAAGTACAAGTAAAGTAAAGAGAGGAAGGAAAGCTGTAAGAAGAGATAGAACTAAATTATTTATAGAAAACCAAAAGCTCCAAAAAGAAAACGAAAAACTAAAACTCAAGTATGAAAAATACAAGAAAAGGTTTTATCGAATTAAAAATAAAAACCATGAAGAATTTAAGAATACAGACTCAAAGAAATATAAAATTTTAACAGGCGCTATTAGTCAAAGATATAAGAATATTAAAAAAATGGCTGAAAAACGATTATTTAAACGAATATTCATTGGCTCTACAGTACGTGAATCGAGAGTAAAGAAACAGTTGTTGAAGGATAGTTTGAATTTAGTAGGAACAATGAGATCGAGTTTAAAACGAAATAAAGGTAAGAACAGATTTGCAAAACAAAATTAAGAATTTTTTAAGCGAGATGATGTATCGAGAACCACAGCAGGTAAGAAAGAAACAGTCACGAAAGATAAACATAAAGTCCAAAAGAGATATCTTTTGGATACTATGAAGATTCTTTATAAAACCTTTAAGCAAGAAAATCCAGATATGAGATGTTCTTATTTTTATTTTACCAAAAATCGGCCCGGGTATATAAAAGTACCAGCAGTCGATGGGCGTGAGATGTGCCTGTGCAAAATTCATCCCAACATAATGCACAAGGCAATAGCATTATATGGTAAACGGATACTGGAAACAAAAGATTTGAGTGAAATAATAACGTACACTGTTTGTGATTCTACGAATAAGGACTGCATGTATGGATCTTCTCATGAATGTAAAAGAAAGAAGCTTAACTATGACATAACAAAGATTAAAGGTAAAGTGTATTTTAGCGAATGGACTAGAAAAGAGGACAGATATATTAAAGACGGAAAACACATTAAATCTATTAAAAATGTGAAAGAAACTAAAGAAGTAGAAATAGAATATTTAATAAAAGATTTCGAAATAGAGCTAATTCTACTGAAAAAGCATGTATATAATATAAAAACTCAATACAAAAACTTTAGACGCTGCATCGACGAAATGCAACTACACGAAGCCACCATTCTAGTAGATTTTAGCGAAAACTACAACTTCAAATATAATGAGGAAGTAGAGGCACATCACTTTGGTGGATGCAGGCAGCAACTTTCGCTCCACACGGTTATGGTTTTCATGGTCAATTTGGACAAAAAAATATTGCTGAATCTTTTTGTACCGTATCATCTCATATTCTGCATCAACCTGCTGCAATTTGGGCGCATTTGCATCCTATCTTGCGAAATATCAAATTGAGGTTCCCTGAAGTAAAAATTCTTCATTTTTTTTAGCGATGGTCCTTTCACGCAATATAGGCAAAAACAGAATTTTTATTTAGCTTGTACAAAACCCTTTGAGTATGACTTTGAAGCGGTGACCTGGTCATTTTTTGAAGCCGGCCACGGCAAAGGACCCGCTGACGGCATTGGTGGTTTTCTAAAACGAATAGCAGACGGTATTGTTGCCAGAGGGAAGGACATTTCAAACATTGAACAATTCGTTAGTGCTTTGCAGGGAACGAGCAAGATTATACTGTATGTAATAACTAAAGAAGATATGGAAAATATTTCAAAAGAGCTTCCAAGAAACATTACAAGATTACAAGGTACTTTGCACGTGCACCAAGTGTTCACTTCCAAATACGGTGAATTAATGCATCGTACGTTGAGTTGTTTTTGCGAACGGGGATTTTGCAAGTGTTTAGAACCTAAAATTTACCATCCTGTTCCTCTGGTATCACCAACAACTGCTGATGCATCAGTCGACAATGATACTGCAATGGTGATTCCTTCATCTCCTACGGATTCAGCAGATGCTAGTGGTACATGTGGTGATAATAATATCGTTAACTCTCTTTCATCTTCTATGTCTTCTGACGATGACGAACCTCTTAACAGAATCAAATCAAGGTGTTCCGGAGCTACAGTAACTATTGCTAGCAAACCACTAGCAGAAATAAACTACACAGACTTAGCCAAGGACGCGGGTAAACGAGGAGCTGTTTACGATATGGTTTACGGTTCCATAGACGCATCTAATGAAGAAAATCAGCCTACGACTTCTGGGAATAATAAAGTGCTGCCAAGTAACGGAGATTTCCTTTTAGTAAACGTCCACGCTGGTAAGAATAAAACTTATACTTACGCAAGCCTTGCACAAAGTGATCTCGAACACGATGGCGAGATTAAAGTGATATTTCTCCGGGCATACAAGGGTGCAACTAAGTTTAAATTAGACGAAAACGATATAGCGTTTGTTGAATTTAATGATATTATAAAAATTCTCCCTAAACCAAAACAAATAATTAAGAACGAAAAAGTCTATTATAATTTTCAAGAACAATTAGACATATATGAAAAGTAATATTTTATTACTCATTATTACAACGATAATATAAAATTACCCTGTCGACGAGAGGAATTTGCCGCAAGCTCCGCACTTTGCCATATCGTATTTATTTTAATTACTAATTAAATGCCGAAAGATGTCGTTACTGTTATTGTTTCTTACTGCTTACCAGATGGTTCTGAGGTGCTGCCTACCCTCCACTGAGATTTAATGAAAGGAGACAATATTAATTACACAGTGAAACAAACACAATTTTTTACACTATTACTTATCCACTGCAATCCAAAATGATAACACAGCTCAGTTAAGATATCCGAACCTTAATTTTGACACAAACAAGTGAAATTATACTCAAAAACTATTTTTACGAAGTAAAAAAACAACAGCTTAAGTTGACTGTATGCCGTCCGTAACGTCACTCTCAGAATTTCCTTTAGAAAAGGTCGTTCTGCGCTCTGATTGGTCGACGGGAATCATTAGTGCCGTGTGCAAGCTTTATTAATTCTGATTGGTCACAGCTGCCTATAAAAAAGAGGCGTTTTTTGTGGTAAAACATTCCAAATCCGGCAATGTAAGAATAAAGAATCAAGAAAATAAATAAGAAGAAACTCTGGAGAAGTGTTATTTATTGCTCATCTAACTGCTACTACATGCTCTCCAGTTAACATCCCGCCAGCATAACCCGCTCCATTGCTAACATTCTCACACACGAGCATCAACATTGGTCCTTCGAAAAACCGGATCGGGTTTAATGAAAACTAGGAAGATGCCTTCAAATACAAGTTCAAAATCAGTGCAGTCGAAGACTATGAGTGAAAGTAACGCTACTACGGGTACCAGTACGACGGATTGGAGCATGAATACGCCGAGTGAATCTACAAGCACGACGGCTACGAACGCGTCAACATCAGATCGATCGACCAGCAGCGTACACAGACAACCTGTACTTCTTACTAAGAACATTGCCGGAAAAGAATCAACACCGGGGGACGTAACCCATACCACCCCCCCGACCCGCACCGTCGAAGCGTCAGTTCCTCACCAAGAAGAGAGTCATCCAACGCCGCAGATTCAAGAAAGAAGTATCGCAGTGAAGACATGTCTGAACGAGGGAAGCATACCAACATCCAGAGAAAAGAGTCTGCAGCAGCCTCAC